GATGGCCGTCCTCCGCACGTTGAGAGAGCTCCGGGACCTTTTTATACACATAGAGCTCTCCCGTGCTATTGTCTTAAAGGGCAATGTCTTTTTTTTTCGCCCGAACAGGGGGTCGAACCACGTTAATTGTATTTTCTGAAGTCCAGTGAAGTCACCAACCCTGGACCCTCAGATTAAGAGTTTGATGCTTTACCGACTGAGCTATCCCCACCTACAGGATCTAACTATGTCAGATACGTGAAAAACCTCAAAATATACTGGGAAAAATTCAACTTCCATAAATCAACCATACAGTGCTTCCGCTGCCAAATTCACGGTCACACCTCATTCAGTTCCAACAAGAAACCAGTTTGACGCTCAAATGCGCTGGTTAGCATGACTAAGATTCTGTAAGAAAAAACACCTGAAACTTCCCCAACATGCGCTAACTGTAAAGACGCGCACCCTGCTAATTACTCCAAGTGCCCAGTCCTACTAGCCTTCTTGGCAAAAAAGACTACTAGCACCGTGAAAACTCAACACACGCAGCAACTCCCTCACTTCACTTCCAAATCTTCACTTCCCCTCATCTTCCTTAGACAAACTACAAAATAAAACAAAGAATATTGTATGCAAAAGCGGTATTACCCCAATCACCCCCACAGTTTCAACTAACTGAATTTCCAACCAACACAAATCTATCCGACCAGATAAACAAGCTCAACTCACTAGACCTGGACCAGTTCCATAGCGCTCATCCAAAAATATTATGAACTGCACCAACAATCTCGAGAGAATCAGAGTTACTATTCTAATGAAAATTCTAGTGAAAGAACTCGACAATGGCCAGCCATAGAAGCCTCATTATCATTTTATGGAACATCACGAACGTAAAGAAGAAGATAGATGAACTTCACAAATTCCTAATAGACCATAACACAGATATCGCAATTATCATCAAACCTTGGCTCAGCTCAAAAGAGCATCATCAAACTTCCAAGCTACAAAATATACAGAAAAGACAGACCACTAACCATCCAAAACAAGCCAAGAGGCGAAGTACTAATAGCTACACTAGGACATTCTAACAGAAGACATATCACAGCCTATCCCGCACAACATAGAAATACTAACAATCAAGATCCAAAATACTCCCCCCGCCCCTCCCCCAAAGTTAAAATCAAAAAATCCCGCTAGATGCTATCATTCTATCACATGGTCACTATATCATAGATGGCGACTTCAACACGAAACACCGCTTATAGAACAACACGAAGAAAAATACAAACGGATCCTAAAGAATTACGTGGAATTCCACAAATATCGCATCATTCAGGAAACCAAACTGCACTCCTTCCAATATTGATATCTTCCTAACAAACATCCCTTTTCCATATAACTGCAGCACCATAAACGAATTATAGTCAAATTATCTATAGCTCTTTCGCTCAGACCTAACTCAAAAGACATCAGCACAGATCGACAGGAACTTCGCGAAAAGCCTCGCCAGACTCAAAATAAACCATCAACTGCAGACCACAGCCGACGGAATCAACAACTCATCCAGCAAATACAAAAATCCTTTCATAATGCAACGCCCAAAACCCAAAACCAAAATTAATCCTCCCAATCCTCCGAGATCTCATCAAACAAAGAAACAAACATAGAAGAAAGTTTCAAAAAAATGGTAACTTCATCCATAAATTACACAGAAATCTGCTCGACCTCAAGGGCATTATAAAATAGACTACACAATTTAGCAAACGTATAAAATCACAGGAGGCATAAAAATTCGAATATCCGCACTAAGAAACCGCAATATTCTTTGCTACACGAACGAAAAACAAAAACAGGAAGTTTTGCCGAAAATTTCGAAAAAATTCATAACACCGCATAAAATACACCTTTTTCATCAATCACGAAATCGAAAGTTCAGCAATCTCCCTATATACGAACTCGCTCACACACAACAGTACGCTGAAATGTACTCCTCAGCAGATAAAAAACCTAATCAAGAAACTCTCCAACAACAAAACCTCTGGACCGGACAAAATCTTCACAACTGCATTTAAAAAACTCCCAAACTATAATCATTCAATTATATTAGATATTCAAAACTTGCCTCAAACTCTGCTATTTTTCTACGGCGTGGAAAACTATCGAAGTATCGGCCGATCAACCTCAAGCACTATTAGTAAAATATTCGAAAAAGTCATCTTCATCATCCCACATAATCATTACAACAATTTGGTTGTTTAGAACAAAACACTCCTGCATCCAACAGCTACAACGTGTCATGGAACACATCACTTTATTAATAAACAAAAATAAATTAACACAACTTATCCTTCTAGACCTCGAAAAAGCCTCCGACTCAGTTTGGCACAGTGCCCCTAATCAAACTACAGAGAATAAACACTCCACTCTCGCTCATCAACGCAATAGCCAATTACTTAAAAATAGAAAATTCTACGTCTCAATCAACGGTGTCTATTCAGTACTCTCATTCCAAGTGTCACTGTGAGAATACCGCAATGCTTCATCCTAGACCCGCTTCATTTATTCATTACATAAACGACATCCCCAAATTCCCATCTAGCAGTTTATGCCGATGATACTGCCATCCTCATGGTACCTTAGAAACGCAATAAAATACATTTAAACCCACCTTGACAAGCTTCAAGAATATTTCCGTAAATGGAAACTCATAGTAAACTCGGTTAAGACGCAAGCCGTCACTCCGACAAGAGACCCAAGCCCACTGATTAAGTTGTCATAGTAGGTTAAAACAAATCTCTTAAACATCCACAGTCAAATACCTTGGCATAGAAGCAAAAATGGGCCTCAGCAATAACTAAAAGAGCCAATGTGGCTTATCCTGTTCTTAACAGACTGTACTAGTCTCAAGAAGTCCACTACTCTCAAGACATAATAAATTCAAAACTAAATTCAGAATAAAAGTAAACTTATACAAATCATGCGTCGGACTAATAATCACATACAGCCACCAAATCTGGACTGCACCAAAACACACATCAGCAAGATCCAAAAGATACAACATAAATTCATCTTAAACAAACGACACGCCAATCCGCGAACTCCACGCAATAGCTAATATACAAACAATTCAAGACTACATCAAGAACTCACTTGAAATCGCTTATCATCCAGAGCACCAAAATTCAAACTGATCAGCCAAACAGAAAATTACAATGTCAACGACATCCCACTGAAAATCAAGAAAAGACTACCAAGCATAAACCCGAACAGGGATCATACCTCACAAAGAAATTAACAGAGATATATAGAACTTATCCTTACATTTTTCATGCAGGTTAAAAGGCCACACATTACTGCGAGAAAATCACTCACAAGCAAAAAAAAAAAAAAAAACGTTGCGGAGGTTCAATAAAATAGTACGCAACAACCTAGCAATTCACGACGTAACGAAGACGCGACTATCTTTACCGTGGATTCCCAAAATTCTGAACCGAATTAAATATTTGTTAAGTAAGAATCCAAAAATATCCAAAGTTTCGAAGTACAGGTCCAATTTCCAAAATACATGCTGAAGAAACCATCAAAAGTCCTGAGTTCATCTCCTTTTTAAGTCTGGTAAATGCAACAAAATACGTAGGCGTTTATGCACTTGGACGGTGAAAAACATAAGTGACTGGCGGGCGTATTAAATTAAATACAACTTTCTGATAGATCAAATTCTTTCTTTTGAAGGTGCACAGAAGAACGAAGTAACGAAAAAATTGTTTTTAAATTGGAATTTGAGAATCTTACGATAGTACAGCATGAATTTCAGTTTATTTCACACTTAATAATCAAGCTCGTTATTTCCAAGTCATTGAAAAAAATCTGATTATTCAAAATTATTTTAATTATTTTTATTTGTATTTATTTTTATTTTTATTTGCCATAGTTATTTTCGTTTCGTTGTATAATATTATCTAATGTACTTGAATAAATAACTTAAAATATAATTGTACAAAAATATAAATAAACTGTACAAAATCGTACAAAATATGAATAAACACAAAACGGACATTTACAATTTGCAAAAGAAAAAATGCGTTGGAATAGAAAAGTGCGGACGAAAAAACAATTCAATCACGATGGCCCGGATGATTTTCGATATTATTTTCACAATGTACAAAAAGAAACAATGACAAAATCGACGAGAAATGGGTGAAACTAATGAAACTATTGATTTGAGTTGTTATCAGTTATTCGATAAATTCATCAATGAAAAAATGGATAGTAATAGTAGTAATAGAAAAAAGAAAAACGGAAAAATTTCCAGATCAATACATTTTTCAATATATCTATTTTTCCGGGCTTGTACATTTGCTGAACATTAATTGAAAATTGTTGGAGACACTCGTTAACACATATCTATATGTGTGATGTATATATTATTGTTAGTTAAAATATATAGTCATTATTATTCTACATGTGCTATCATTACATGTTCTTAGAATAAGACAATTTTTTCTTGTTGTACACAAGATCTTGATGTTGTGTTTTATTTCTAGTTATCCGCATATCGTGAGCTGGTAATCTTACAATTTACTTGTTATACACGATCTATCTTTTTGACGAGTAATGTATCTCCAAGAATTTTAACTCATTAATCACTGTTATTTACAATCTTAAAAATAGTCAAAATCACAAAATCACACAAATCACTATTCTTAATAAGTTGTTACATAATTTAAAAAATTTTTTTTCCGCTTATCGTATCTCCCAATTTTTCAAATTCTTCATTTAATTAATTGTTAGTACTTATTCGATAATATTAACTTCTAAATTAATATTAACTTTTATTATTTCCAGTTAATTAATTTACGAATGTAATTGCAGTGTTTTTTCTGCGCCATTCTGTTTTATAGTTATAATCTTGTTGTAAGTGTCCATCTGGAGATTAACAGTTTATTAAAATTTTCGCAGTTAGTAATTATTTTGCGAACCGGACTCGCAAATTTTTTTCAGACCAGGGATTTGTTTACATCGAGGTATTTATTTACATTATATGCGGCAGCTTCCAGCAACGCAAAAAGATATTTGATCATGAGATAATGAGATCATTAGATGTTCACAATGTGTTAAAATATATTCTATAAAAGTAAATAGGAAATTTTTTTAATAGAGTACACGATAGCTAAAAATTTGAGAAACAATAATCCTTTTACAAAAATAAAAGGTTAGTTTAAAATTATAATTGGGTTACTTTTGCAAAGGAATAGTACCAAATTAATTGTTATTTGTATCATAATGCAGTTCACGGCTGTAGTTCTGAAAAACATCAGTTTATTATGATTGATATGAAATTTTGAAAGAATGAAGGGAGAGACTCAGATATAAAATGTTAGTATTGTTATTTTATTAGTTCCCGAGATATTAATAAAAAACTTCGACACAATACATTAAATTCTGCTTATATAGGCATTATACTACATCAACTGTTTTTACCATTGTCATCGCCGGATATCCAGTAGTCAATGATACAATAGCTATAAGATGTCTCATGTACAATTACTATCTTTAAAATTTGCTTCTGATGAATCGAAAAGTAGAAGTTAGAGTTAATCACCATGATGTGAATAATCAAGTTTACGTGGGACGCTCTATAGACAAGTGATATCAGTATTATTTAAATTAAACAATTGCCCAACGCTCGTCGATGATAATAAATATTAATCAGAATTTAATATATTGTACCAAAAGTTTTTTATTAATATCTCGGAAATTTAAAAAAAAAACTGGAAAAAATTTTATATTTAATGTTCTTCCCCCTCCTTTCCAACGCCCCTAAATTTCACGTCGATTGAAAATTGACGCAGTTTAATTTCTAGCTGAAAATCATAAATTATCAAAGCAAGACCCAATAATGTCGATCTGCCGATATATTACGTCTCCTCTTCGATTTAGATAATTTTTGAAAATGTAAAAATCAACATTTTTAACATCCTTTTTTTACACATGTACTTCTTGGACTCGTTTAGTTTTTGAGTTATTTGCAAAAAACTGTTGGTACCCCACAATTTTTGCTAATGAATTCTGCTTGTAATTATGCGTCCGAGCAACGTATGTGTCAGTACATATTAGTCATCGATTTTTGAAACAATGATACTTATGAAATAGACATGGATAATGGATGCCGAAAATGCATGTAGTCTTATGGATGCATTCTCGCACGATTTAGTATCGCGATACTGATATATCGAGAATTTGCCGCGGCAAAAAAAATTATGATGACCTTAGAATGAGCTTTACAAACTTTTCTATCGTCATTAAATACGCATCTTAAAACTACATACATTCAGCTATTCTTTCATAACTGTAATAAAAATAATTTAGATGTTTGATTTAAATGAGACACACTGTATGCATACTATGAGAGAATGAAAAATAAAAATTGCACATTGTGGATACAGAATAAAAGATAAGTTATACAAAATGCAATACAATACAATACAAAATACAATAATAACAAAGAAGAAGATAGAAACTCTGCCTGAAAAAATAAATAAAAGAGAAAATTAATATTATGCTCTTAATTTTATTTTGAAAATTATACGTTGAATATACATAAAGCTATAGAAATTATTTCGCGTTACTAATGTAAGAATAAATAATATATTTCAAATGGTTAAAG